AGTAGTCACATTCATAATTGAAATTAATCAGATTAATAATGAGCAACTATCCATTAAAAATTCAAAAATGCAAAACTTTAAATGTAAAATTCTGCATGGTCACAAACATCAGTATAGTATTTGAATAGGCCAATGCATTTAGAATTTTATTGTGCCTAAAAGTGCTACTTTCTTTTAAGCTTCAGCATGAGAGTTTCTTATTATTAATAGTACATATTTAGAGTACAGAATAGTCACTCTTCTGGTGAGTGCTGGTATGCAAGCATAATGCTTCTGAATTCCTGGGCTCATCCACTTTCCACTCCCTCCCTTCCCCTGCCCATGTCTTCCTTTCTTTCCCTTACTTTTCATTTTTCTTTTTTCTTTCTTTCTTTCTTTCTTTCTTTCTTTCTTTCTTTCTTTCTTTCTTTCTTTTTTTTGCAGTACGGAGGATGGTACTCAGGACCCCGCACTTGTCAGGCAGGTGCTTGTCTTTTTCTACTGAGCTATCTCCATCTCCCCAACCCACAACCCAATTCTGGATTTCTTTCTTCCTGTACTTTTTTCCCTATTTTTTCTTTTTTGTACCTGTTTTCAAAACAGAATATTCACATGCCTTCTGTGGAGTTGGTTTTAATTGTGAATTTTTCGTCCATTTATCAAATTCACATCAACTCCTATCAGATGCATTTTTTTTTAGAAAATAGAAAACAAAACAAAAAACTAGTTTTGTTCTATGGGTGTACATTTAAGATTACAGAATAAATGAGTGATAAAAAGTTTAAATAAAAGATATACGTAATATATCTTGCTTTATTCATTTTTACTTTTTTTGTATTTTAGGGAAGGTTCTACAGGGTGTTCAGGGTCTCACTACTAGATGGGACTCATAGTGATCCACCTCTTTACAGCCTCCCAAGAGCTGGGATTACAGTCACGCACCACCACACCCAGTCTCAGTTGCCATCTCAGCATGCCCTGGGGCCAGGGCCGGCATGGCAGGTTTGGGGATCAAACCCCGGCCTCTGCACCTGCTTGCAGGTGCTTTAATTAGCAGATCTATTTGGCTGGCTCAAGACACAGTTCATTGGACAATTTAGATACAAAAGTCCTCAGTAAATAGGTTCATGAGTGTATTAACAAAATATACTTTATGATCAATAAATACAAATATTTTTATGAGAAAGAAATCAGAATGATCACTTTAGAGGTCTGGGATTTACATTTAAGTTGAATGAGTCACATTCTACAGTGGTCCAGAAAGAGGGGACAACACCTTGGGTTATTTTTATGTATTTAGTACAGCTTCTACAGGGTCTCACTACACGGACCTAACTTCGGTCCTCCTGTTTTTCAGCTTCCCAAGCGATGGGAGAAAGGCACATAACACCATGGTCAGTCTCAGTTGTTGTCTCAGAGCGCTCTGGGGAGGGTGTTAGGATGGCAAGTGGGGGATCGAACCCTCAGTGCCTGTGTCTGCCTAAGCAGGTGTTTTAATCCCCTGAGCCATCTGGCCAGCCCCAGCAGCTTTTAAAAGAAGTAAGAATGACATAAATTTGTAAATACATAAGCCACACAAATACAGACTCTTACACACACCACACTGGCACACACATACAGCACCTAGGAGAATAGGAATTTCCTATTAGTAAAGCACAGTTTGAAAATATAGGTTAAACCTCAATTACAATGTTCGGCAGCTTTTCTTCTTATATAAAGAGTTTAATTTAACTAAGATTCAGTTACTAAGTAGCTTAACTGCTTTTGGTTTTCATCAAATTTTCACTATTTTTCCTGCTAGAAAGACTATAATAATTGAACTTTATCTGAGAAATGGATTAAAGAGGTGTTGCCTGCATCCACTCACTTCTCAGGAAGAATTTAATCACTATGTCGTGCAAACTTATAGAAAGATAAAGGAAATTGTAATTTGTCTCTCTCAAATGGGCAGGGATGTTGGATATGATTTTGAAAATATTGAAATAGTTTAGATTTAATGGCAGATGATTTTATGCTATTTTTATTTAAATAGAAAATTATTTGTCAATTTCT